TTTATTTATTTATTTATTTATTTATTTATTTATTTATTTATTTATTTATAAAGCTGCCCATCCACTACTCTGCTGCTCTGAAGATCTCTATAGCTTTTAAATGGTTATAATGGGAATGTGCTTTAGCAAGTGGAGTTTGGGCAAAGCTAGTGCCCTTTCCAGGCTCTGCTGCAGTGAGTAACGTTGCTCTTTCTTCCTTGGCTCTTGATGCTCTACTCACAAGGTGCCTGCAGGTTTCCTCATGAAGAGCTGCCTTCCAGAGCACACATGTGTGATTTCTTTGGGTTCTCCTTGTCTGGAGAAGCTCCGCTGATCAAGGTTTGCTCCTGGTTGCAGTTCTCTGCCTCGGAGTCATCCCTGTCCTTTGGAGGTGTGTCAATCCATCCATTTTCCTCCATCCGGAAGCCTCCACCCTGGTGGTGTTCCAGAGGGCCTTAAAGACCTGGCTGTTCTCTCAGGCCATGGGAAAAGGTGGCAGGATCCCCTTGTGAAGTATATCTGTCTATGTTTTCTGTGTTGTTGGCTAAATTTGCTATTTTGTTCCCTATGTTGTTGTTGGTGTTATAATTTGCTCTTTATTTAGCTTTTTCCCTCTCCTTATTAATATTGTATTTTATTCTGTTTATGCTGTTTCTGTTTATTCCTTTATTCAATTTATATTGTGAGCCATTCAGGAGTAATTCTGGTGCCAGGCAACACCTATATCAAATGAATTAAATTAAATTAAAATAATTAAATATGTTTCACCACCCTTACCACCCTACGGTAATCATTAATACATGGTCTTACCTATCCTTGTTCAGACTCAGTCCTCATATTCCTTCAGCGGCCATCCAGGCATCTCTGCAACGGTGGTTTCATCTCTAAAAATCACTGAGTTCTCTTATATCCACATGTATAGGGAGTCCACATGGGCACCCTGGTGGTATTCCAGAGGGCCTTAAAGAACTTAAAGACAGAGGGTCTCAGGGTGAAGCACAATGGGCTGGAATGCAGCAGTGATACCAAACACCAGGGCAGCCTTCCCCGAGAGTGGACCACCTTCTGTGTCTGACCATAACTTCCCACGCCTGTTGTCACCATGATGTCACTGTCTGCCTTCTCCCCCTTAGAATACCCACCATGCCCAACCCTTATCCTCACTCCCCTAGGTCCAAGGCCCCATCACACCCTGCCACACTGCCAAATAATGAGCTGGCCAGCTCTAGCACATGGGTGTTTCTGCCCAGCGCTTAGCACCCAACACCCGAGCAGTCTTGCTCTTTCCCACCTCCCATCCAACCACACAACCGCAACTCCCCTGACCCCGTCCTCCACTGCCCATCTCTACCAGCTCCCAACTTCTAACACCACAACCACCACCCATCCAATTTGACTCCATTTTACATATCAAAACCATTCACATCTGCAAACAACTATAGCTCCGACAAAACATCTGGCCTTGATGCCATGTGGAAAAAAAATCAATAATCAGTAGTATTCAAATGTAGCTATCATTATACCTCTGGTACTTCTTATGAGCAAAGCAAATCTCATCAGGTTGTATCAATTTATTTAGGAGGACATTTAGTCTTTTTGCAGTAAAGAGTTTATCATCTACGTTAAGTAACGTGATGGGCCAATACAACACTGGACAAGTTGGGCTGTTCCTCTTGTTAGGTATCAAAGAAATTATAGCTCCCTTCCAAGAAAAAGGAAGTTCTTGGTGTTCCTGAATCTCATCTGTTGCCTGAGTTAATAGTTTGATCAAAATTTCCTGATTATATACTGTAGTCTAGAGCTGGACGTTTTGCCATCATTATTCTTACTACTGCTACTACTAGGAATATTAGTATTTTATTGTTTTTTGAAGAAAGAATACAAGTGA